ATTTGAGAATAATGGGAATTCTAGAACACTTGATGGTACCGATGAGGCACCTGTACATAGATCAGAAGACTTTCATTCAAACAGAACAGGGGGATACTGCATGGTTCAAAATCAAGAAGGGAGTGCATCTGGATTGTATCCTTTCATCATACTTACTCACCTTGTATGCTGAGCAAATAATCCGAGAAGCTGGATTATATGAAGAAGAACATGGCATCAGGATTGGAGGAAGACTCATTTACAACCTGTAATACTCAGATGACATAACTTTACTTGCTGAAAGTGAGGATAACTTGAAGCACTTACTGACTACAGTCTGCTGTATGGATTATACCTCAACATAAAGAAAACAAAAATCCTTACTACTGGTCTAATAAACAGCTTCACAGTGGATGGAGAAAAGATTGAAGTTATCAAGGACTTCATATTAGTTGGTTTTACAATCAACATCAATGGAAGCAGCAATCAAGACATCAGATAATGTATTGCATTGGGCAAATCTGCTGCAAAAGACCTCTCTCAAGTTATAAAGAACAAAGTTTTCTCCTTGACGACTAAGGTGTGCCATGGTATTTTCAATCAGCTCTTATGCATGTGAGAGCTGGACAATGAATAAGGAAGACTGAAGAAGAGTTGATGCTTTTGGGTTGTGGTGTTGGCAAAGAATACTGAGAGTAACGTGGTCCGCTAAAAGAACCAACAAATCTCTCCTGGAAGAAGTGCATCTGGAATGCTCCTTGGAAGCGAGAATGGCCAGACTTTGTCTCACCTGCTTTGGTCATGTTGTCAGAAGGGGCCATTCCCTGGTAAAGTGGTGGATCAATGAAGAAGGGGAATGCCCTCAAAGAGATGAACAGACACAGTGGCTGCAACAATGGGCTCAGGTATAGCAAGGATCATGAGGCTGGCACAAGACCAGGCAGTGTTTCATTCTGCTGTACATAGGTTCGCTATGAGTCAGAGACAACTCAATGGCACCTAACAACAACAACAACTATGTCTTCTAAATATATTTTGCATTATTTTTTTCCTGCTAAGAGAACACCCTTCATCTTTTTGCAAATAAAATTATCTTCAAAACTATTTGAAAATATTCTGTTTTGAAAGGAACAAATGGGTTTCTTAAATTTTTGGTTGTGTTTGTTTCAGTGCAATATTTTCTATACTTGAATTTTTGGTGTCTTTACAGCTGAGGCAAAAAGTCTGTCAGCCACAGCACCGAAGGGGAAGAAGGCCAAAGCCTTATTTGATTTCCATGGGGAGAATGAAGATGAACTTTCCTTTAAGGTCAGCATGTGTAGCTTTTCATAATGTAGCCATAATATATGCTGTAGCTGTGTTAAGCAGCTATAAATTTTGAAATGTCTTCTCTATACTGCAGGGTAGATCATTTGGGTGGAGTATTGATCATTAGCCGAGAATGAAGAGATCTCATATCCTAATTGTCAAGGAAGAAACTAGAGAATGTGAACAGGGCAGAATGGATTAATAATTTATATTACTATTATCACCCAGGAGTTTAGGAGGAGTAATTAGGGAAAACATTTTTAGTTTAATAACCCCATGATCCTCGATCTGGTTCCTCATTCCTTGGCCTTCTAACATCTGTTACGTGTTGTATTTTGGCCCCTTACAAAATATATGTCAGAATCCTAATCCCCTATGTAGGTGGATGTGGTATCCTTTGAGAATGGGGTTTACTTTGTTATGTCAGTGAGACCATATTGGTTTACAGTGTATGTTAAGCCAGTCACTTTTGAGTATAAAAAGAAGCAAGGAAACACAAGTGGGGTAAGATAGATGCCTCACCACCTGAAGACTGCGAAAGAACTGAGGAACAGAGCTGACAGAGAGAAAGCCTTCCCCTGGAACCTGTGCCCTGAATTCAGACTTCTAGCCTCCTAACTGTGAGAAAATGAATTTCTGTTCATTAAAGCCACGCACTTGTGGGATTTCTTTTATAGCAGCACTAAGAAAGTAAGACAAGATCTAATTTCAGTAATGTTGGGAGTTTTATTGATAGACCTAGTAAAGGATCCACAATAGCTGTAATGATGTACCCAAACATGCTGGTGATTGTGAGAATGACACAGGACCAAGCAACATTGGTTATGTTGAACATAAGGTTGCCAGAGTCGACTCAATGACGGCTAACAACATAGTAAAAGAGAATCCTCTACATGGCCCTCATAGCCTGCTACAGCATGTCTTTGAAATGTGGGTTGTTTTGTTGTTTTTTATCTTACTTCATTAGAGAAATGCTTTTTTTTTTTTTTTTTAAGTTAAAACAGAACAGTTTTAAGATCCTGTTTTCCCAATCCACACTGGACCATGCTCACAGAGGAAATCTGGTAGCACTTTGAGTCTATACCAGAGCAGGAGGGTGGTTTAAGGAACCAGAGGATATTCAGAGTTCAGATATTTAAGGTGGTATCTTTAGGAAGATTAGATTTTTGCTGTGTGGGAGCTCTGGTGGCGTAGTGCCTAAGGCATTGGACTGCTAACCAGAAAGCTAGGGGTTCAAACCCACCAGCCACTCTTCGGAAGGAAGGTTGGTCAGTCTACTTCCATAGTGATACTGCCTCAGAAATCCAAGGAGGGTTCACTATGAGTCATATCTGACTCGACAGCAGTGAGAGGCCCATGATAGACCTAAGAACAGTGAGTGGAAGCTATAAAAGAGATAAATTTTACTTGACATGATGAATAAGTTTTTAATAGTCATACTCTCTAAATAGCCTATGTCAGATGGTGATAAATTCCCTGAATATGGAGATACTCGGTCAGAGGCTACAGAAAAAATTAAAACATCAGGTGGGTGATTGGACAAGATGAGATTTAAAACAATGGATGCCCAAAGTTTCCACTTATCTACCACAGTGAGGAAAGCAAAGTGATATTGGGTGTGTGCAGGCTCTCAGGGAACAGGAGAGAGAGTAAGGTGGTCATGCTGAGATATGTCAGTGTAAGGTTGGCTAACTTTACTATTTTGTGGTGGAATTTTTCTTTTTTCTGAGAATGTTCTTCTATCTTCTTGTCATTAAAATGTCATTTCTACTATGAAGTATTAATTTGAGTAAGTGATAAGCATTTCTTATGTCCTATCTATGCAAAATTAAAAGTTAGTACCCCATAGCAATTCCCTTTTTATTTGGTCCTTAAGATCTAAATGTTTAGAAACAATTACCTTATACATTTTCAGTCTTGAGAGTCAGTCATTCAGAATTTTACATAAAATGGTACTGCAAGTGAATAATTCTGGATTCAAACTTTTCAGATATTCTTTTGGCCATTATTTAAGTTATGCCAGTGTAAATTACAGAATTCAAAGTATCCTCCAGAAGTAAATTTCTTCATTTTACAGATGACTGCAAGATAGTTATTGATCATTAATACTTTATTAAATATCCACAGAATACTGGTAGATAGAACTTACTTAAAAAAAAAAAAAAAAGAAGAAGAAGAGGAGTCCTTCCTTCAGGAAACTGACATGGTATGTGTGCATATGACCACACCTAAGAAAAATAGTTTTAATCACCCATTACATTATTATTTAGAAATCAGAGAAACTTATTTATAATAGAAACTTTGACTAGCCAGAATTTTTAGGAAATTTAACAGAGTAAATTACTGACATTTCATAGTCAGCATTTTTCCTTTCCATTTTCCATAAAGAAAACCCTGAAATCAAACCACTTTTTTAGAGGGCAATGTACTGGGGCCACAAATAAATCCATTTAGCCTAATAAAGATAATCTTACTGTGGTCAGGGTCATCTTGGACCATTGTGGAATTTTAAAACCAGATTCTAAAAAATGGTTAGAAACTATAAAGAACAAAATAGTTGGAGGAAATAATTTCAGAAATTATGCCATCATTTGCTGAAGGAATTATAATTTGCAGATGAATAAGCCTCACCAGCCCCTTTGACTAACCTGATGAGGAAAAAATCAGTGCTGTGAGTCAGGGTGAAGCTCTTTAAGACAGGGAAGAATGCAAATTTCATATTGAGGCCATGAAGGAATAGGACAAACCAAATGGTAGAGGAGAATACCTTTATGCAGAAGAATAAATACAGAGTGCAAAATGCTCAGGACTTGATGAAAGGCAATTATAGTAAAAGCCTTTCTAAGTACAAGGGCCCATTGTAGACTATGTGATCACATAGCCTCATCATTAAGAATACAGGCTATGGAAACTCTAGATTTGAATCCTGGCTCTACCAGTAACTAAGCATGAGACATTGGGCAAAGTACTTAATATTTCTGAGCTTCAATTTCCTTTTATGTAAAGTAATGAAATCTATAAAAATTTCTACCACTCATCTATCAGTTTTTCCTATTGATAGCTTGTGTGTTGCTGTGATGTGGAAGCTATGCCACCAGTATTTCAAATATCAGCAGGGTCACCCATGGTGGACAGATTTCAGTGGAGCATCAGAATAAGACAAACTAGGAACAAAGGCTTGGCAATCTATTTCAAAAAATTAGCCAGTGAAAACCCTGTGGATCGCAATAGAATATGAGCCCCCTAGGTTGGAAGGAGGAGCTCTGGTAGCATAGTGCCTACAGCACTTGACTGCTCACCAGAAGGCTGGCGGTTCAAACCCACCAGCCACTCCTCGGAAGGAAGGTTGGGCAATCCTACTTCCGTAGTGATACTGCCTCGGAAACCCAAGGAGGGGTCGCTATGAGTCGGGTTTGACTCGACGGCACATAACAACAACAACAACAACAGGTTGGAAGGTACTCAAAACACACAGTGGCCACAACAATGGACAGGGTTTTGTTCTGTTGTACATGGGGTCCCATGAGTTGGAGCTGATTCAGCAACAACTAACTATGACAAATTTAAACTTTATCTTTAATGTTTGCCTTGGAAAGTGTGCTCTTTTAAGACCTATCTATATGGGATCAAATTGACAACAGCAACTCAAAAGATTAGATAGGAAACTTAGGGACCAGTGAGTTTATGTTAATGAGGGAGGAACAACTTGAAAAAGGAGGGTGAGAATGGTTGCACAACTCAGAGAAGGTTGACCATTGTCACTGAATTGTAGAAACTGTTGAGTTTGTATATGTTCTGCTGTGTGCATTTTCAAGGACAGCAACAAAAATAAAATAAATGATCTTTAAAATGGGGGTGATAATCATAATGCCCACCTCCTAGAACTTCAGAGTCATTTAAATGAGTTAGAACTTTTAAAGTACATAAAGACCAGGTGTGCAATATGCACATGGCTCTCTCTTCATCTCCAAGACTTCTAAATGTCACCTTCAGTGAGGCTGTCCCTGACTACCTTCATTAAGGGGCAATCTCACATTTTCTGTCCCCCACTACCAAAATGAGGACTTTATTCATAGCTATATCCTGTATACTCAGAACAGTGTCTGACACCATATGTATGATAACTGGTATTGTTATTTATTCAAGAGGGTGTTTAAGTTTTAGATTAGAAGTAATAGTATAGGAGACTAAGACTGTCATGGACAGGACAGTCAAAGTGCAACAAAGTTGACAATGGTAAAGAAAGGGGCTTTGAGGAAAAGAGACATGAAAGCAAATGGTATCATTAGGCACAGATCATTTTTGTGGTATATCATTTAACCCTCTTAGTAAATCAAAATAAATGAGTTATATGAAGAGAAGAGTATTCATACCTCTCTAGATGTACTGCTCACCTTGCGTACAGGCAACAGATCAAAACAAACAAACCAGTTGTTGAGGAATTCTGACTTACGGCAACCCTGTGTGTGTTAGAGTATAGCGTATTCAATAGCTATTATCTTTCAGAAGTAGATAGTTGGGCCTTTCTTCCAAGACGCCTCTGGGTAGCAAACCACCAACCTTTTGGTTAGTAACTGAGTGCATAACCATTTGTGGCACCCAGGGAACGCTATACTCCACAGAAACCAAATAATTATTTCCAATTCCTCTCTTCTTACAGGCTGGAGACATAATAACAGAGCTGGAATCTGTAGATGAGGATTGGATGAATGGAGAACTAATGGGAAAATCTGGTATATTTCCCAAAAACTACGTTCAGTTTCTACAAGTCAGCTAAAGGTGAAGCTTGACTGTGTTCCTTGGCACAAGAACTCACTTGAACTATCACTTTGACTATCAGATTTGTTTTTGCACTATTTTTTTTTTAACTAAAGAGAAATATCTACATTGTACATGGTATACTAGAATTTTCTGAAAACAGGAAACTTCTAGCTTTTGTATTTAGCTTTCATTCACAGTCGAAACATGCACATGGAAACTCATGAGCCAAGGATTATCCCAAGGAAAACAGCAGGCAGGATTAGCAAGGCAGATACCCTTTCCCCTCAGAGAAACCGCCTAGTGACATGGCATCAAGGGGAGGCTCACATGCAGCATTTGCACTTGGACATCTGTTCTAATCAGCACAAATGAATTAACTGTGCTTCTTCATTTCTTACTTTAGTTTAAAAAGAGGATGTTTGACATTCTACATGCTGTAACTACCAGAATGTGGCTGGTAATCTAAATTTCATTTTTGCTATTCAAATTAATTCCAGCAGCTTGAGTGCATGTCCTTACTACTTGCTTCAGGAAGGGATGGTTTACTGACTAGTTGGAGCATTTGTAAGCACATGGTGAAAATCAGGTCATGCTCACCAAATGCTTCTTGTGTTACTGCTTCCATGTATCCTAAGATTTTAAGGGGCTCAAGATTTGGTGTATTTGATTTTGTCAGAAGGACCGAGGCCATCCCTGAAATGCCTTGCTAATACAACTAACCCTCCAACATACCTGCCATACTTACTTCTTTCTTCAATATATACTTTATGTGAAGGTTATTGCAAAGCATATTTTCTGAATCTGCAATCATTCCTTTGACAATTACTGGTACCCAAAGAAAAGTTCATTTTCTTTGTTGTTACCCCAGTAATACATAAAAACTATGTCTTTTTATAATAGTACATTATGAATCACATATAAAATTTTACAATATAGAGCAACTGTTAAGATGTAAAACAATGCTGACCCCCACAGCTCATTTCTTCCCAATATAATCAGAATAAGAAATAATTTAAGAGGACCGAAGGCTAGGGCTTTTATTCCTTACTTTTTTTTTCTTTTTTTGCCAGCTCATCCCTGTACAATTATTAGAGTAAATAAAAAACTACTTTCCTGCTATCCATTGTTATGCATTCCAGGTTTCAGATAAAAAGCAGTTCTTTACATGACTGAATCAATTACAGTTTATGGGCTAAAGCCAAATAGGTCGAAGACAATCTTCCAAACAGATCAATGGAATAGAATTTCATTGGAAATGTGAAACACTTTCCCAACAATGTTCATGACTTTCTTCTGTTTTTGAGAGGAAGTTGCACATGCTGGGTCACTTTTTAGCTTTTGTTATTGTTTCCCATTGTCCAAAAAGTTAGGCAGCCAGTGGTCAAACCGTTATGTCAGTGCCAACTATATGGGGTTCTAAAAGGGAGGAGATGTTTTCTTTGTCCTTGATTAAAATTCATCTCCTATTTATGTGGTTACATTTGGTCTTGGAGTATGAGAGCTTAGTTTTTCTACATATTTTGAATAAAGAAGACAATATAAGGAAAACTTCTGTCAAATTTCACTCAAAGGTGGATTTTCACTCATGAAAATAAATAAATTTCACTCATGAGAATAAATGAGAAATAAATTTTCATTTGTAACAGCAGGAAGCAAGGGGTATTGTATGGGATATGAGGTATATATTTTTGCCTATGTAATTGTAACTTCTTAAAGATTCTGAAAGCCTAGCTTTATTGAACAAAAGTATCCCTCTTAAATTTTGGCCTTCTGTCAGCAGAATGATAAGTGCAATAGTTGTGAATCTACTTGACACTATAATAAACTGAACTGAATTTTTCAAAATCCCTTTCTCATACTAGACTGAGTTTTTTGAGAGTGGAAATTATATCTTCTTATCTTTGTATCCTCAGCCCTAATAAGGTTGGTTGATCGGTTGGTTGGGTGCATGGATGGAGGCATGGATGAATTGACTGAAAGATCAGTGGACCAATGGATTAATAGATGAAGTAACTTTCAGTACAGCAAATACTATCTTAAATCCACTCAGTTTCTTTCCTCCCTAATTTGTTGACAAATCTATATTAAAACAAAATTCACTGTTTTTATCAGATATCATTTTACAGATATCATTTCAGGCTCTGTTTTTTGCTTACATATTTATTACTTGCTCAACTGACAGAAAGCCAAAATGTACCATATGAGTTTTCATAAGTACTTTCTTGTTCTATATGTTGATTGAATTCAAAGCAATATTCAATCAGGTTTAAGGAGAAGCATAGTTTTTGTACTTTGTGAATTTCACAGGGGAGAAATAAGAGTGCATTCAGGAATTTTAGGTGAAAATCTGATCATATTTGTCTAAGCCTCCTAAAACAAGAATCTCTGATTCCTTTTTCTTTAGTGGGCTAGAATTATTAGAGAAGTTGTTTAATATATTGTTCCTACTCTTTTGAACACTAAGGGACAGCAGATTTCTTTAAAAGATGCCGTTGTTTATGAGGCTGAAAGGGTGCAAGGATAATGTAATATGTCTGTCATTGCACTATTGGAAATTACAGGTTTCTAATGTAGGAGCTCTGATAGCATAGTGCCTAAGGCACTTGACTGCTAACCAGAAGGCTGGTGGTTCAAACCCACCAGCCACTCCTCGGAAGGAAGGTTGGGCAATCCTACTTCCGTAGTGATACTGCCTCGGAAACCCAAGGAGGGGTTGCTATGAGTCGGGCCGACTCGACGGCACATAACAACAACAACAACAATATACTTCAGAATTTTAAGTCAGTGCATTTATCAAAATCCTTTACTAAAACTGGCATTTGAAAAAATAAAATATCATTTGTATATAGGGTTAGTTATAAACTAGTACTTTTAACAATAATTGTTTAGCTTTTATTCTGTTTCTTATACTTAGATAAATATACTTAGAGAAAATAGTGATGGATATATGGACTAATTATAAGGGGATATGTTCACTTTAGTATACTCATTAATGGTTTATTCCTTTTAATTAATGCAAAATGCTCATGGGCCATAAGATTCATAATTCAGTGCCATTTCAAATAGCAGTGAATGAACTCTTAGCAGTGAATTTTTTCAGAACTAATGGGAAATCATTTTCTAACCTATGCCTTTTCATGTCTCTTTAGTTACAGAGGGGTGCAAAATACAAAGCCTAATTCAGAACAACAGCACCATCTAGGGACCACTCCACTAATTGCAAGTTCATGATTAACCCACAGAAGAGAGTCCTTGGAGACTTAGAAGTTTTAACCTGTTGAGATCAAATAATTTGCCTCTGGTAGAGTAGTGCCTAAGGCACTTGACTGCTAACCAGAAGGCTGGCAGTTCAAAGTCACCAGCCACTCCTCGGAAGGAAGGTTGGGCAATCTACTTATGTAGTGATACCACCTCGGAAACTCAAGGAGGGGTTGCTATGAGTCAGGTCCAACTCGACAGCGCATAACAACAACAACAAGTTCACATATGGAGGGCAGCAGAGGTTTAGTGGTGGAATTTTCACCATCTATGTGGGAGACTGAGGATCAATTCCAGCCCAAGCTCCTAAAGCATAACCATCACCTGTCTGTCAGTGCAGGCTTACATGTTGCTATGATGCTGGCTGGAGTTTACAGACTAAGAAAGACTAGGAAGAAAAAAGTCCTGTGAATCTACTTCTGAAAATCAGCATATGAAAACCCTATAGATATTCACATATATAATAAAGCATATAGGGAGCACAGCCACAGATATGCTTAGACATAACCAAACATCTCATGTGATTGGTTTCCTGGGTCTGAAGGATTAGGACCATAATCACATGGGACATCTTGGTCAATTGGCATAATATAGTTCATAGAGTTATGTTCTACATCATAATTTGGCAAGTAGTGTCTGGGGTCTTAAAAGTTTGCAGGCAGCCATCTTAGATACAACTATTGGTCTCTATTCATCCAGAGGAAACAAGAAAGAAGGAAACTAAGGACTCGAAGAAGAAATTAGTGTGCAGGACTCAATAGTTTACATGACTCATGGCCTCATCTACCTTGAGACCAGAAATAGATGGTGCCAGCTACCACTCCTGACCATTCTGATCAGGGCCACAACAGATAGGCCCTGTTGAGTGGAAGAAAAAAGTGGAACAGAACCTCAGATTTCTAAAGAAAACAAAAAACAGATTTATTGGACCAGTTAAGACTGGAGGACTTCTGAGACTATTGCCCTAAAATACTCTTAAAGCCTTAAACTGAAACTAGCCCCTGAGGTCAACTTTTACCTGAATAACAGATAGACTCATAAAATAAGTAAATTAAGAATATCACCCGTGAGTATTGTGTGCCTTTAAAAAATCATCTATATGACACCAAATGGTCAACAATAACTTTATAACAAAGATGAGAATGTAAGGGGATAGGGAAACTAGATTAATGGAAATGGAACAACCAGAACAGAAATATTTTTAAAAGATTCTGCTAAATTAAAATAAATTGGCTCAAAATGAAAAAGATAAACATCATTTTGAACAATATTTTGTTATAAAAATTAGGAATTAAAAAAAAAAAAAACTTATAGATCCAAGTCAGGGACCAACTAAGTGGCAGCTAACCAAACAACAAGGTCACCTAGTTACTGTCAGAGCCTAAAGTAAAACCTAGCTCTACTGATTCCCAATCCAGTAACAAGATAATTCTCCTTAGCAGTTAAGCAAGTAGAATTCATCTGTTTTATTGGCCTATAAAAGTTTTAACTTCTCAGATACAATACATATGATTAGAAAGAGTTGCACAGAATAAATTAGAGCTTTTGAGTTTATTTCTTTCAAAGACAAAAGAAGAGTGCTGCTCAGCTTTTCAATTTTGTTTAGACAATTTATATTGAAGTTACCTAGAAACAGAATATGAGCTGATCCGTTAATGGGGATTTCTTTTTCTGTTTAATAGGAAATATTTGAATGCTTGGAACATCAGTTTTATAAAGGTTTGTCTGTAGACTGGTGCTCTTATAGTAGCAAAACAA